CCGGGGCCCCATTGTGGGGAAAACAAGAATAGACCCACTGCCTCCCCAAAAGCATGTCGTAAGAGTCGACTAATTGAGAAGCTTCCTTTGAAGTCGGAGTGCATCTGCCGGAGAGGCAAGGAACCAACAGTCTGTATTCAAGAGAATGAGATCTGTAAAACTGATGCACACGCAACACTCAGGTTCTGGAGCAGGACTGCAGTTCAGTAGTGGACGAGCAACCAGAACCTTCCGCCAGAGTTTACAGCTGGTGAACGTGAAGAAGAAGAAGAAAACTGTATTCTTAGAACACTTTTCTTTTGAGGGAACATGTGGTCTGTATTGAGATAATATTCAGAAAGCAGTAGTAAATATTTCCCTACCAGGACATCACACAGAGCGGTAAAAACCCGGTGACACAAAGTGCCACAAAGCGGATGAGAATCACCTGTGGAGAGATCCCATAAACCGCGTTTATCCGTTAGGCTATATTACGGCCCCCGGCAGAAACCGGGGTGGGGCTTTGAAATAACGAAAAATTGTGTGCCACATAGGTACGACTTTCTTTGACAATACTAATAAAACTTATAATTGTATTTATAGAGGTTGTTGATATTTTTGATTGGTTGCGCTTGCTTGTTGTACCCCATCAGGACATCTCACAAGCGATAAACACCCGGTGACACAAAGTGCCACCATGCGGATGAGGATCACCCGTTGAGAGGTCTCCGAAACCCCTTTCAGTCGTTATGGCTACAATTGTGGCCAAGCTAGGTTCAGGGCCCCCCTGCAAAAGCAAGGGTGGGGCTTCAAGTTACCAAAAATTGCATCCCTTTAGGGAATGACTAGATAACTCATGTTGGTTGTGGAGGTTGGCTCTAGAGATGAGCTGCAGAGTACGCTAAGCTTGTTTTGTACAAAATCCGACCGTTAAGTAATGGGACTAATTCCATAAACATTAAAATAATCAACAGTTAAAGATGTAGCCTGTATTTTATTCAAAGTAAGCCTCTTGTGCATTGACACAACAAGTGGCACGAATCTAACAAACACTAGAACAACCAACCTCTATAGTTCTTCTATCGTTATGGCCCTTCAAGTCGATGTTACGGCCCTTTGGATACCATCAATATTCATATTGTGAAAGAATCGTACTTTCAATGACAACTTTAATTTCGGGAATAGAAAATAGTCACGGGGGGACAAATCTGGGGAATATGGTGGATGGTTGAGAACGCCTATCTGTTTTGGGGCCAAAAATTCCTGTACAACTAACGCCTTCTGAGCTGGTGCATTATCATGAAAAAGAGAGAAAATTGTCAGGTGTTTAATACAAACCGACAACGAACCTTTTTCTTGCCCAAATTTCCCATAACAATGTTGCAAATAGTCTCCGTATTAACATCAAATTCATCTACCATCATCCTCACAGTCGAGCAACAATCTTCTTTTATCCGTTCTCTGACTTTTGCAATGAGTTTCTCATTACGAACAGAAATTGGGAGCCTAGATCTAGTTGCAATAGTCATAATTTCCATACCCCTTTTGAATTGTGAATACCAGCTGACAATCTATGCACGTGATAAAAAATTATAAACTTGTCTCATCAATTCATCTGTAGCAGTGGTTTTTTTTTTTTTTTAAACATAATTTAATGCTCCTTTTTTGGGTTGCTTCATGCTGTTTACGTAACAATACACCTCTGACTAGGTTAGCAAAATGGCGGCTTGTTTGTGGTCTGCTTATCGGGCGGCGATGAAAAGTTGCCAGATCATAAACGAAGGTTGCCTCTTTGGATTCTATGTTTTGATTCCTGGATGGCATTTTTTTCTTAGCCATAATAAAATCAGTATCATTACTTATTTGTCGGACATTTTACAAGTCTCTTTTAGGTTTAGGGATGTATAATATATTTAGGCGTTTGCTATGTCGCCCATTATACATAAAGAATGGCCAAAAGGCAATATGGAGCATTTTATTAATAAGATTTTATGAAAAACTGTGGCCTTGTTAAAAAGAAGTCGCTTGGAAGAAGAAAGAAGAAGAAGAAGAAGAAGAAGAAGAAGAAGAAGAAGAAGAAGAAGAAGAAAGACACTGTGCACATAGCGTAACAAGTTAGCCACCGAGAAGACTTGACTAGGGGGAGACAGGGGAAGTAATTACACACGAACCCACATGTGAGCGAGCCATTACCCCCAGTCGGAAACTCGCGGCACGCTGCACCGGTGGTGTAGATGGATGAAAGATTCCTGGGTTTGCCGATGACAGTGTCTGTTGGCACCAAGCCCGTCATGATTGATTGGTCATGCGGCACTTGACAGCTTTTATCACCGTATCGGAGGATTGGGGTGATTGCCATGTAGTAATCGCTGTTGGGTGCAGTGTTGCCACTTTGGATGTTTTACATCCAGATTCAGATGTTTTCCCTTGCATTTAGATGGCGTTTTTGACGTTTAGATGGTAGATGTTTTTCTAGACGTTTTTCATTTGAAGTCAATTTATTAAATCTAACCTATGAAACAGAATGAAACTTGACCTCTTAAATTCTATCTTGACAATGAAATTTGGCCTGATAAGCGTAGGAAAAGGCTGTTTCACTTATCAGCTCCCTGATTGGGTATTAAAAGAAATTGGAACAGCTAAAGCATACCAGAGTCATTTTGGATCTGAAGCTTCAACTTCATCATCCAAGCTAAGTTTATCCTGTGGGTCTTGTGAGGCAGACTTCAGTAAAGATGAGGACATGATTCTATAGGGTAAGTCATATCAATTGCTATGTAATTTTTGACTCTCTCCATTTAGATGTTTTTCTAGATGTTTTCCATGCAAATTTAGATGTTTTTAGATATTTTGTGACTCCGTTTGGATGTTTTTTGTCAAGAACAAAATATGACAACACTGGTTGGGTGTGTAAGTTGTATGTATGGACACGAGGAACGGCCAGCTAAATTATGGTTATAATATAAGCTGTCCCCTTGTGGGATGCAATTTTTTGTTATTTTGAAGCGTCGGCTTGTGCCGGGAGCCCTAAATATAGCCGGGCCATAAATTTGGCCTACCAGCTGAAAGGGGTTTCCGGGACCTCTCCAAGGGTGATACTCATCCCCATGGTGGCACGTTGTGTCATCGGGTGTTAATCGCTTGTGTGATGTCCTGGTGGGGTAGAAAGTCAGCCAGTCAAGCCAGTCCCCTTTGTGGGATGCAATTTTTTTTTATTTTGAAGCCTCGGCCTTTTTTGGGAGCCCTTTAATATAGCTGGGCCATAAATATGGCCTAACGGCTGAACGGGGTTTCTGGGACCTCTCCACGAGTGATCCTCGTCCCCATGGTGGTACGTTGTGTCATCGGGTGTTTATCGCTTGTGTGATGTCCTGGTGTGGTACAACTTACCTGGCTAGCCGAACGGCTAGAAACGTTTTCTGTTCGGGAGACCAAGGTGTTAATCTACCCGAAATGTAAGAACCATGCGCCCTGTATAATCTTCTTCTTCTTCGCGTTCACCAGCTGTAAACTCTGGCGGAAGGTTCTGGTTGCTCGTCCACTACTGAACTGCAGTCCTGCTCCAGAACCTGAGTGTTGCGTGTGCATAAGTTTTACAGATCTCATTCTCTTGAATCCAGACTGTTGGTTCCTTGCCTCTCCGGCAGATGCACTCCGACTTCAAAGGAAGCTCCCCAGTTAGTCGACTCTTACGACATGCTTTTGGGGAGGCAGTGGGTCTATTCTTGTTTGCCCCACAATGGGGCCCCGGAACCCAAACGGGGGAGTCTGTATAATAATAAGCGAGATCTGTAAATGTTACGGTTCTGGCTAAAGACCAAAGTCCAGGCGTGGACGAACAGACAGAACTTTCCGCTGGAGTTAACAACATGGAAACGTTAAGAAGACGAAGAATCCTTGTGTGAGTGAGGAAGGAATTGTGTTTTTCTATATGTGTGGGGGGGGGGGGGAAGGCGGGGGCATCCCTAACCTGCACAATCCATGTCGTGCGACTGCACCAACATATGCGAGTGCAGAAGAGGTGCAACCATCAACAGTCTTTTCTATCCAACCCTGTCCCTCCTAAACCAGGGCTGATAGTGGGATTTTTTTTTTTTTTAAACCCAGCTTAACTAAACAAAAACCCAAGCAATACATAGACAAAGGATTGTTAATATGTACACAATTTATATTTACAAAACGAAGCATTTACCACTTTTATATAAAGATATATTTAAAAAAAAAGATTTCTCTAAAGCGTCATAAAAAACCAGATCGGTAAGGGGGGGGGGGGGTAAAAATCCATAATTGGCAACCCTGTTCCTACAGAAACAAAACCAAAATGCAACACAAAGTGAAAAACGGAAATGCAAACAGGAAACACAACTAGTCTGGCTGTCACATAAAGTGCAGGATGCGACCGTCATTTGCTTGGAGACTATCACGGTACTTCACCGACTGTCAACTGAGAGCCGATAGCAGTGTCGTGGTTGCTCTTTCAACTCCTCCCACTTCAGATAGCTGGGGTCAGTCTGCTGTGAACTACATTAGTTCACTTCAGATAGCTCGGGTCAGTCTGCTGTGAACTTCATTAGTTCACTTCAGATAGCTGGGGTCAGTTTGCTGTGAACTACATTAGTTCACTTCAGATAGCTGGGGTCAGTCTGTTGTGAACTACATTAGTTCACTTCAGATAGCTGTGGTCAGTCTGCTGTGAACTACATTAGTTCACTTCAGATAGCTGGGGTCAGTCTGCTGTGAACTACATTAGTTCACTTCAGATAGCCGGGGTCAGTCTGCTGTGAACTACATTAATTCACTTCAGATAGCCGGGGTCAGTCTGCTGTGAACTACATTAGTTCACTTCAGATAGCTGGGGTCAGTTTGCTGTGAACTACATTAGTTCACTTCAGATAGCTGGGGTCAGTCTGCTGTGAACTACATTAGTTCACTTCAGATAGCCGGGGTCAGTCTGCTGTGAACTACATTAGTTCACTTCAAGCGAACAGGTAAATGTCGCCCTACTGCAGATGATACTTTAGGCCAGTGATACGCGGCCCACCAGAGATACGCGGCCCACCAGTGATACGCGGCCCACCAGTGATACGCGGCCCACCAGTGATACCCAGCCCACCAGTGATACGCGGCCCACCAGAGATACGCGGCCCACCAGTGATACGCGGCCCACCAGTGATACGCGGCCCACCAGTGATACGCGGCCCACCAGTGATACGCGGCCCACCAGTGATACGCGGCCCACCAGTGATACGCGGCCCACCAGTGATACGCGGCCCACCAGTGATACGCGGCCCACCAGTGATACGCGGCCCACCAGTGATACGCGGCCCACCAGTGATACGCGGCCCACTAGTGATACGCGGCCCACCAGTGATACGCAGCCCACCAGTGATACGCAGCCCACCAGTGATACGCTGCCCACCAGTGATACGTAGCCCACCAGTGATACGTAGCCCACCAGTGATACGCGGCCCACCAGTGATACGTAGCCCACCAGTGTTACGTAGCCCACCAGTGATACGCAGCCCACCAGTGATACGCAGCCCACCAGTGATACGCGGCCCACCAGAGATACGCGGCACACCAGTGATACACGGCCCACCAGTGATACACGGCCCACCAGTGATACACAGCCCACCAGTGATACGCCACCCACCAGTGATACGCCACCCACCAATAGTCTGCAGTTATGTCTTGGTGGAGCGCCAGAAATACCCAGCTAATCGTATATCACAGGGCTATCCAACTGGCGGCCCGCAGACCCGATTCGACCTGCGGAGGCTTAACAGGTGGCCCGCTGATCATTGGCTGTTGTGTCAATGATCTTTCTATGTTGTTGGCTTTGGTCAGATCATCGTTTTGAAAATTTTGCCTTTTTCGAGGCCATATTGCATTTGCCTGAGAGGCAAGGAACCAACAGTCTGCATTTAAATAAGATAGACTGTAAACCGGATGTGAACGCGGCACTCGGGTTCTGGGACAAGACTAAAGTCTACAGGTGGACGAAGAACCAGAAATTTCCGCCGGAGTTTACAGCCGGTGACCATATAAAAAGAAGAACCGTTTACAGTACACCCCTGACTAAGGTTAGTTGCGTATCCTTTACAGGACGTTGCAGAACCAACCCTAACAGCCCCTGGCTGTTGTGTGGTTTTTCTAGGCAAATTTACGTCCAGTAGTTTGCCATTGCTCTCTGGACGGTCGGCTTTCTTAATACCACTGTCGAAACCAACGCAAAGTGCATGGCCCGCAGCTGGGATCGAACCCGGCATCTCGGCATTACAAAGCGTTCGCATCGACTTAGCCACAGAGTCTACACAGCACCCCCCCCCCCCCCCCCCCCCACAAAAAAAACGATAAATACATGTAGTGGTTACATTTGGGAAAAGGGGAGGGGGGGGGGGGGTTGAAATTTTTATAAGGAGTTTATATTTAAAAATGTTTATATTTAAAACTTCCTGCGACTAACTAGCTGATGTAAATTTAAAACGCAGGGCCATCGGGACTTTATTTAGCTTAGGGACTCATCAAGTCTTTGTCCGGCCCTGCTGAGTCCACACACAGACATACCCGGGTAGATACACATGCATATACCTTTATAGACACACACATACAGGGTAGATATACACATACCGGGTAGATATACACATACCGTGGTAGACACACACATACAGGGTAGATATACACATACTGTGGTAGACACACACACCTAGTACAGCTCTTCATGGAAATGGGTGCTGCGGCACACAGTGGTGCCGCGAGTGTATACCAGGGGTGCCGCGGCAATAATCAAGAATTCTCCCAAATCTGCTTGAGATTAGCGGGCAGCGGTTTAAAACAGAAATACTGTAAAGGAAGCCAAGAAGAGTTCTGTATGCAGGTGTAATTAGAAAACAATGCTATTGACAAGGTAGTAGTGTGTTCTCAACTTACGCTCACATTAAAACACAGGAGCAACCTTCGTGTGAATAGAGGGTACAGTTAACTAAACTTCCAATAAACATAAAGGAAATAATGAAAAATTCATCCTAATAGTTTTATTTATCGCTTTAAACTGAACATTTAATTTGCACTTTTTTTTTCTTCTCTTCCCAAGTATTGTAACCCTGTTGAGAGCAGGCAATTTTTATTTTGGGGAAAGTTGGGGGTGGGGGGGGGGGGGATGACAAGGGTGCCAAAAACAATTTGAGAAACTCTGCCGTAGCAGACAAACACATCCCCGAGCAGACATACCTGGCAAACACAAAGATACCTTTCTAGCCACACACATTCCCCAGTAAACACACACGCTACTACACACACATACAGGTCAATAGAAATAATCCTTGTTTAAGTGATTAATAATAACATATTTTACAGAGTGCTATAAATGACAAAGGAATAAAATAATACAGCCGAACCCCGTTGAAACTAATTCAAAAGGAACTAAAATTGGCTTCGTCTTGAAAAATTCGTTCTAACTGGGGAGTAAAATAATGCATGTTCCCTGAGGGAATTATCTGTGTTTGTGTTAACCGGGTGTTCTTCTTAAAAGAGTTTATCTTAACGAGGTGTTACTGTATTTTGAACATATCTTCTTCTTTTCCTTCACTGTCTGTAAACTCTGGCAGAAAGTTCTGGTTGTTCGTCCGCGTCTGGACTCTAGTACGGTTCCAAAAACTTTTTTTTTTTTTGCGGTACAGATCTGTTGTTTCCTCGCCTCACATGCAGATGCACTTCGACTTTGAAGGAAACATCTTTAATTAAAATACTTTTACGGCAAGCTTGTTAGGCCGCAATGCGTTTATTCTCCACCCCCCCCCCTCTACAATGAGGCCCCGAAACAAAACATAGGAAGTACACATGAAATAATATATGTTTCTAAAAAGTGTTTAAAAAAAGAACACGTGTGTGCTTAGTGGTGAGATGGAAAGGGAGCTGAAATCTCTAAGAAATTTTCCATGTCTGTGGCCACTGAGAATTTTTTGTTTGTTTTGAAAAATTTTAGTGGGTTGGGGGGGGGGGGGGTCCTCAAGGTGTTTGAATACCCAGGTTGTGACACCCCTGCACGAGCTATACCACCGCGACGTTTACTGGCTGCAACCTGTAAGAGATAGTCGTAAATCATCTGTTGATAGACTGGCACGCACATAAAACTCTTATGTCTGAGCCACAAATAGCTACCCTTCGGCCCTGTGTACCTACCCGGAACGCAACCGTTATCCCTCGGCGTCTATTTATACGTCGGAATCCTAGTCAAATATTTGGGTTAATTTTTCTGCTGCCAGATTCTCCGGGATTATGCGCATCTTTTTGTGTAGACACGTTAACATCGGTTGATATGATTTCACACCAATTATTTTTCTTCGCGTTCACCGGCTAACTCCGGCGGAAAGTTCTGGTTGTTCATCCACCTCTGGACTATATGGACTTGTTCCAGAACCTGAGTGTTGTGCACACATCCCTTTTACAGATCTGACCTATTGTATGCAGACTGTTGGTTCCTTGCCTCTCAGGCAGATGCAGTACGACTGCGAAGGAAACCCCTAATTAGTGGATTCTTGTGAAATGCTTGTTGGGGCTGCATTGTTTCTGTTCTTGTTTTTCCCACAAAGGGGCTCTCGGAAACCAAATCAGGGATTTAAACCAATTAAAATGGCACTTGGTTAGTTAGTTAGTTAGTTAGTTAGTTAGTTAGTTAGTTAGTTAGTTAGTTAGTTAGTTAGTTAGTTAGTTAGTTAGCTGGTTAGTTAGTTAGCTAGCTAGCTGGTTGATTTAGTTCACACCAGTTGAAATGGCACATAGTTCAACCCCAGTGGGAGTCCATGCTTGTTAATGTCGATTGTTTTAGTCCACACCAGTTGAAATGGCACATAGTTCAACCCCAATGGAAGTCCATGCTTGTTAACGTCGATTGTTTTAGTTCACACCAGTTGAAATGGCACTTAGTTCAACCCCAGTGGGAGTCCCATGCTTGCTAATGTTGGTTGTTATACTTTACGCTAGTTTAAATGGCACATAGTTCAACCCCAGTAAGAGTCCCATGCTTGTTAATGTTGGTTGTTTTACTTCACACCAGTTGAAATGGCACTTAGTTCAACCCCAGTGGGAGTCCCATGCTTGTTAATGTTGGTTGTTATACTTCTTTTACTTCACGCCAGTTTAAATAGCTCGTAGTTCAACCCCAGTGGGGACTGTTAACAAACAATATATTCCTGTTGTGACCCACAGTTTGTTCCTGATAACTGAATGTTCTTCTTAAGCGATTTCTTTTTAATGAGGGTTTAGTTTATATGTGAGAGTGAGATAGTCTAGTGTGATTAGACTATAGTTAGACGAAAAACAGATTAAGCTACAAACACTTGGAGCCAACAGATGCGAAAGGCACAATCACAGAGATGAAAGGAGGTGGTTGATATCTGCAGCAATGAACCCCAAGGCCTCAGAATGCTTAATAATAAGATATACACAGCAGTGACATTTAAATTAAATAAATGTGACCTTTTTGTTTCATTTATGTAATTGTTATTGTAGTGTGCACCTGACGAATGCAGCGAAATATGCAGGCATTAAATTGTGCAATCTATTCTTTTTTTCCCTTCTTCTTTGTTCTAATAAGATATTGTTAATTACATTTCTTGAAAAGGAGAAGAGTGTTGGTGGGGGGGGGGGGGGGGACTCATGTCGCTTAAGCCCTGGTTCCCGGCGCCCCCGCCTTACATCAGTGTACTCGTAAATAAGTAACGGTATCTCAACTTCTTTAGTTAACATAGACCAGAAGAAACTCAAGGGAGGCTAACTTAACAAGTCCTCTTCTCTCAGCAGAAACCTGCTGGAGGTTATTTCTGTTGGTAGCCACCTGGGGCGAGGACTTCTAGGCGTTCAACAAGCAGCCGTATTTAAAACAGTGCCAAGATGGTGGCAGGCATTTGTGAAAACCGGGTTAGCTTGGTAGCAGGGCTACCAATGCTGGGTTTTTCTCTTATTTCTGTTTTTTTTTTTACCCTGGGAAAAAAAAAAAAGGGGGGGGGGGGGGTCTGGTTTTTTTTAAAAATATATCCTTATATAAAAGTAGTAAATGTTTTGTTTCGTAAATATAAATTTTGTACAACAAATCTGGTTTTTTTTTTTTTTTTGTGTGTCTATGTATTCCTTGGGTTTTTGTTTAGCTAAGCTGGGTTTTCAAAAAATCTCATTGGCAGCCCTGCTTGGTAGGACTGCTCAGCCAGCCAGGATGTTCGTCACTGTTGTTTATTAATAGTCCCTTTTGTTGATGAAGGCTAATCGCCGCAAATATAATGTGTTTGCCTGTGTTTGACGACTTTAGGCCGAAGGAAAGGTTTTTCATTCCCCCAGCTGGGTTTGGCTGACACAAGTCTCCTTTTTCTGTACTGGGAGTCTGAAGGTTCCGTCGCCCAGCTACTGACTTAAGTGCTGATTGCGACACTGTGAGCCG